ATAGACAAAAAAAATACGGTACCCGAGGGATGCCGTCACAACGCCGGGACGATGGCCATGTGGGTAATGCTGATGGTCGCGATGACTCGCTTCTAGTAGCCAATGCCAATGCTCTGTGGACTACCTGTCGGTTTCAGTGATGATGCTGACGCGGATGGGTCTGGATTTTGATGGCCAAGCCTATGCGGCCTTGAGGCAGTCCCCACCATAAGCGCTATGGACCTCAAACCCTAAACCCCGAAACCAACAAGCAAACGCAACTGGTAGCTCAGAATCTGCTCACGCGAAAGGTGCCAGGGACGAGGCCATCCCGTCGGAACCTTGGGATTACAAGTTCTGTAGTCTGTAGTTATTCCATAAGATACGAAACATACTCTCGCACTCTGTAGCAGTAGAGAATGCAGAGTGTGGTCTAGAGTAAGCAGCTGAAATCTTACCACGCAGAGATGGTAAATCGCTGATAGTAAGAAGCATGATATAGTAATATCATCAATTGTGCTTACAAGACCATATCAACAGTCACTAATCGCAACTCAGAAGATGCACTAAACGATATTCGAGTATCTGTTATGCCAAAACGTATAATGCACAAGAATACAACGCACACATGCTGCAACATAGTAGGCGACAGGTACATTGCAGCATGGTCACTGGTAATACAATACACTTAAGGATGATATGCTCATCTATAATGTAAAAGAATACAAACTCAAATATTTTGTTTCGGGATATGTATATACAAAACTTCTTGTTATGCTGTATATGCTATACTACACTATACTCTGCTACACGGCTCTGCTAAGCCCTAAAACCATAGCGAGAGTAGTAGACGGTACGCAATATTGCATTTTGAAGTATGACACGATACGATACGACTGCCATACAATACAGCATATTCAGAAATAAAGCCATTATACAGAACATGAGCTATAAAATGATACATTATAGAATCACACAACATAACAAACCTAGCATAACACAGATTATGCTCTAGTAGAATGTAATAATGAAGTTGGGTTGGATCTTGTCAGGGCTACGACTCTCAAAGTTCTTTGTGTACCGTCGTCTGCGCTAACGCAGTTTTCGGCTGCATGTTCTCACGAGGATCATACACACGGAGTTGTCAGGTTTCGCAGATGCTTCGCCAACTCCTGGGGGGAGAGAGAGTGTGTGAGCGTGCATGTTAAGTATCTGCATACGAATGAACCTGGTCTATCCCTGTCATGCTGTGCGTGTGTGCGTGTCAACATGTACTTTCCTGCATATGTACAGGCGTTTTCCTTCGTTGACACACACACACACCCACCTATATATATATATAATGACAATATATATATATATATAT